ATGGCGCAGGGCCGGCACACTGAGGCTGGCACACCCCGTTCGGCCTGGAACATCAAGGTGCAGCCCCCTTGTTGGAGGTGTGACACATTTTGTTGGAGGTCCAACTTTAATTTGCGGGCATATGTGGGGTCAAATCCCGTTTCGTCACTTTGCACAAGGCTTTGGGTTCACAAGCTTGCCCTGCAAGCTTTAAGGAAGCTTTGAGGAAGCTTTGAGGAAGCTTTGAACTAAAGCCTTGCACACTGAATGAAGGCATTTGGGTGTGTCTTTGAAGGTACCCCTAGGGTTGCTTGCAAGGAAACCAAAAGGAAACCCGTGGAGGTTCTATATCCCAATCCCACCCAGTGCGCAAAAATCGGAAGTCCTTCAGGTTTGAGGCGCTCGCTCCAAGTTCCGAGGTCAACTTCCGAGACAGTCTAAACCAAAGCACCGGGCAACTCAGCCAATGGTTCGGGTTCGTGAAGGGGGACCCGCAACATGCTGGTGTTCCTTTTGGTTCAAAGGGTAGCCTGCCAGGATAATTCCCGAAAGCTGCTCTTGGCTTTCGCTGTTGGCCCTGGAAAGGAGAAGCTCGCGATTTCTCATTGTTTCGAAGCTTGTGTTGGATTCACATCTGTATGTTTCGTTTCATCCAGGAAAACTATAGCGAAATCAGGGGGAGCAGGGGCAATCCTTATTTTCTTGGGAGTGCCCGTTCTTTACAGGTGAATCATCGCATTGTTCGCTGATCGCAGCTGGTTTAAAGTAAAGCCTGTGCGACTCTCAAATTTAGGCCAATTTACCAGATCGGAAGAGGCTCGTGATGGCGTAATCTCCACTCGGGGATAGCTGGCCGGATCTTCTGCACCAGACAGGCGGAGCTGAACGATGCGCGGGGGCCCGGTGCGGAGTGAGGCAAAGCGACTCAAGGAGCATGAAGCATCTTGCGAGGCTCGATTCTTGGCGGCTCCCAGCCATCCCCTTAGCTTTTCAGCTTTTCCCACTAAAAGTTAAACTTTTCGCGGGGGATCTGAGGACAGCCCAGGATTGAGTTTCCTTTTGGGTCGGGTGTTCAAGGAGGATGGAGCAGGTACGAAGCCAGACCGCAGAGATGTTGGGGTTTTGGGACGTTCCCACTGAACCTCCCAGCTGCAAGATGGAGTGAAAGCAATCAAGCACATGTGAGATACGGCCAATATTTGTCTCTCATCTACATTGGGTACGCTCACCAAAACACCAGCAGGAAACGGAGTGGCCATCACCAAATTCTGATCATTGGAGCACACAATGAATTTTGACCATAGCTCATGTGAGGCTCGGTCAACATGCCAGTCTATGGTCCATTTAGGAAGTTTTCACACAAAGCTGGGGACGAGCGCGGCCCAAACTCCAAAAGGGCCAGTTTAGCAGGAACCCGTAAGCCTTTCCGACCATGTTATGGTTTCCTTTTGGCACCATGGGACATGCAACACCAAGGGCAGTTGCAAGGAGGTATGCAAAGGAAATGCCAACTAGCTGATTCACCCCGAGTAAGAAACATCAAGCTTGTCGACCGGGACCCCCCGAAGGAAAGGAGCCAGGTTGTATTGTGGGGCTGCAACCCAAAAACAGAAAAGAGCTCCTCCCAGAAGCGACCACCCTTCCAGGAAAGCGCACAGGCCAAAAGTTCCCAGAAACCATTTTCCCTTTAGTTTTTCAAATGGCAGCGTCCTTTGGTTGCCTATGGTGCGCCCTGGACGCAGTGGGGAGATTCGCTGCGGAGGCCTTGTCCAATCTTGCCTGGGGCTCCATCGACACGGACTCCGGAGAGTGGGCCGTGGGCTGAGGTCATGGGAATTTTGAGTCAGATTCGCACGAGGAATTGGGAACCCGGTCAAACAACCCGTTTAGCGGCTTCTAATCGGGTTCCCTTGCACTGGGGGCAATGTGCGGATCGCATCCCAGGGAGCCTTTCATTTGAAGGTCTCGAAACAGATGGGAATGGGCCGACATGGCTGACTTTGATCGCGGCAGGCCAAATTGGACCTGATTTCCAAATCACTTGAGGCTTGGAACTTGTGCTCCTCTAAGATCATCAGGGCTTCATAAATCAACTGCAACGGCCCCCGACACATCAATTAATCCGGGGTCAACATGATGTGAGCACGGGGCAAGTCAACCTATGTTGTGAATTGGCATTGAAACCAGATATCTTAGACGCCGTGGAACCATGTGCAGCACATTCTAGACTGTTGGCGCTTTTTTTGTTTTTGTTTGAGGGGCGAAGGTGGTGAGACAGGGCGGGGCGGGGATGGGGGTTCTGCATTTTTGCTGGAGGTTGGGGGGGTGGGGCGGAAATGCGCCGCCTTCTCTTCGCGGGATCTAACCGCACTAGCCCAGAACTTGGAGTCTCCGGACCCCTCGCTCGAGCCGCCGCACTCGTCCTTGATCACGTGCGCCTCAAACGCTTTTCGGGCAGGATTCCCTGGTTTTGGTTGACACATCCTGTTCTTTGGGAGCTTTCTTTCATAGATTGCAGTTTCATATTGCCAGAGGGTTTTCCCACTCCTTTCAATTGGGGCAAACGTGACTGGAAAATCCACGGAGTCTGCACTGGCCGTTTCTCCGGGTCAGAGCTGTGGGTACGGTTGTCCTCTCAAAAGAACTAGGAAAAGGGTCGGATAAAAGGAACAACTAGGGAAGAGGTTGGAATATATTTGTCAGGGGGCCGTTGGGGAAGACGTGGGAAGAACCAGTCCCTGTTTGCACTTCTCCTTTCAAGGGCCCAATCTGGGGACATCTGAAGACTAGGCGCCGTGTGGCGCCTTTACAAGCCCCCCAGTGTGGCTAGGCTTGTCCTTGGAGGACTGCCGATAGAATTCGCGTTTGTCTGTTCAAGTACAGAAGTACACTCGGTTCGCGAAGCTCGTCCCAGGGGATTTTGCAAAGGGACCAGTGGCTGAGCTGCTCTGACCTAGGTATCTGGTGGATTCCAAGTTGGTCTTTTGCCAGACTGAAATCGCTCCAGCTCCATGGGCCCCTGTTCCTCAGCTCCATGGGAGTGTTCCGTGCTCTGCAAGTGTCTGGGGGGCGGGCCAATGCAATATTCTCCAGCTGGAAGCCTTGGGGTCTCTGCCATGGTTCTGGAGTGGTCCGGAGCGGCGCGCGGGCCAGGGTTCCAGAAGCGTTCCAGAAAAGCTCCAGGGGTTGTGTTGGGGATATCACCGGGCTTATGTTTGTTGCATCGGCGCAGGTACGCGGACTATGTGGCGAGAACGTACCCTGCGGACCCCACCATGGAGGATAAGGCCGACGACTCAGACTTTTCGCTGGCCCTGGCCGAAAAGTCTGCCCACGGTGAAAGCGGCAAGTTTAGTTTCAATATTGGGCCCACTCCACCAATCGGGGATAGGCCCATGACAGTCTGTTTCTTTCTTCGCCCCAATAACAACAGAAGAGAAGACAGTCAAATGATTCCTATTGAGGGAACCATGACCGCAGGATGTACTTTCGACTCAGGTCCCTTCCATCAGGCGAAACTGTTCATGCTGATCTCTTGAGGGTTCGTTTGCAATGGCACGCGTTGCGCTGGAGATGAGACTGATCGACCGTGTGAAACTTGGGGTACCACTATCTGAGACTGTGGTAAGCAGGATGCGATGTGCCGGCCGATCCCGCCTGGTGCAATCGGGGCCACCTTGTGTGACTTCCAAGCAGGTCAACGCAACAGTCTTCCATTCGCGCAACAGTTCTTCGTGCTTGCAACAGGATGAGCGCAGCCTTCAATATGTCAAGGCCCATCTGAGCGTTTGAACTTGCTATGCTGGGACCAAGCTTTGCCTTTCTGGTGTGCGACAGAAGACAGATGTTTGAGGAGCAAGAATTGTGCGGAAATTTGTGGGAGGCAGGGGTGTGGAAATTCATTGGTCGAGGTAGTTGGTCGGACTGCCGGCCAGACTTGAGCAGCTACTAGCGTGGTTTCCCCTGGAGCCGCTTTTGTTTTCTCTTTGGTCCACCTGACAGATGGAAGCGGATCAGCCAATTCGAGCTGAAGCGATTTAGGTACGCTTTGTCCTGCATGCTCAACTGTTGCCGACGCACAGCTCCTGCTGTAGACTTGCTGGTATGTGTAGCCTGGGCATCGACGTAAGCCCTTCCGGGCGTGCGAGCGCTTTGGTTCCAGCAGACAGATGTCCAACAAACGCGCAATCAGTTAACTCTTGTCGAACGGAGGCGCGAGGGTAACTGGAAAGGACTACCAGCCAGATTTGAGCAGCTTCTAGCGTGGCCACCAAGGATGTTTGTAGATGGAGGCGGGTAGCGCATGAAGTACGCTTGTCCTGCACGCATAACTCCCGGTCAGCTGCGTGGCAGGGAGCAGTCTTTGTCACCTACCCGCATAATTAGGATACTTTGAGGGGCAAAGCGTGGGTGGCGCCCTGCGGTGTTCGCGAGACATGGCGAAAAGGAGGTGTTGACCCCATGTCCCCAGGCGCGGGAGGAGAACGCGCGGCTAGCCTTCGAACGGCGGAGTTGCTTCACCTGCCCGGGGGAGCCCGGTTCCAAGCGCGGGGCCCCAGCAAAGTTTTTATGGTTTGGATGGGTAGGTCTATTTTCTTTGGAATGCTTTATTTTTTCGCGCCTTTGGTTCTCAAGGGAATCTATCACTACTCTTGCTGGCTTTCATTTGGTTTGGATGGGGGTACCCTTCCAACAATGGGAGGCGATCGGACAGTTCTGGAAGACAGAAACTTTCCTGGCAAACCAGTCAACAACTTTGATTGTTTGAAGCTTGAAGGAGGGTGTGATACCTTTCCGGGCCAATTTTAGGAAGCCAACCATTTTTGCTCCCCCCCCAAAAAGAAAAGAACCAAAACACAAAAACAAACACGCACACACACACACACATCAGTGTAGGGAGTGACTTTTCAGACCCGCAGCCGAACTTCCGATTCGAAGCCAAGGGAAGCAGCAGCGGTGTCGGGAGTGAAGAGGAAGGGATGCTGTGAAACACAAGGGATGGTTGATAGCGGTGCCAGCAACTTGCGCAGCAGCCGTTGCCGAGGGAGAATTGGACATTGGTGAGAAGAAAATATGTAGAACTCGTAACATACCCAGATGCATTTGATCCACTTTCAAGTGAGGAAGGAAGCTTGTTTTAATTATTCTGATTGGTGCCCCTTTGGCGAAATTTGAGCCAGGCAACCCAGAATGTTTGTCTGGAAAACCAGCAAGTTTTCAACACACCTTTTGGAAAGGCCTTTGCCGAGTTTCCTTTGAGTTTTTGAAGGGAGACTGTGCTTCGGATGTGCAAAGGTGGTAACCGGAGGGGGGGGATAGAGCACCGCTTTCCTGTGGTGGTACTTTCTTTCTTTTTCGAGTAACACTGCGTTCGCTGTTCTGACCAGCAGGCGCTTCAAGCAAATACATGCAACTTCAAGCAGACAGGAGGCTGTATGCAGGACACTGGGTGATCCAAAAGCAGGCCATGAGAACGTGCGGGAAAACTCAAGTTGGCCCCCCCCCCCCCGCCCGCCCTCCTGAATGAAAGTTTGCCTGCCGAAAGCTGCCAGAATGAGCTTTCAGGACAAGAGTTTCAAGACGCCGAGCGAATGCGGCCTGCTTCAGTTTTTGCCCTCGAGCTTTTGCCGTCTCACTTTCTGCGCAGCTCAACAAGTTCTTTCAGCGGCAGCATAAAGCACAGGAATATCATATCATATCATGATATTGGATTGATGGCACAAGACTGCAGCAGTTCATGTCAGAGGATGAAACGGGGTGAGCGTTGATGGGCTTCTTCGCTTTTTTCACACGTGGTATTCCTCCACCCTCCCTCCCTCCCTCCCTCCCTCCCTCCCTCCCTCCCTCCCTCCCTCCCTCCCTCCCTCCCCTCCCTCCCTCCCTCCCTCCCTCCCTCCCTCCCTCCCTCCCTCCCTCCCTCCCTCCCTCCCTCCCTCTCTCCCCCTCCCTCCCTCCCTCCCTCCCTCCCTCCCTCCCTCCCTCCCTCCCTCCCTCCCTCCCTCCCGCATTCCCAGGTTCCGGGCATTGTTTGACCAGATGGTCAAGAACTTGCAGCACTCCAACAAGGCGCATACCGTTCAGCTCAGGACGCTACACAGTGGTTACCTATCCCATGTTTCTTTTCGAGATGTGCGACAGCCAATAAACGGTTCCTTTCCTGGCGTCGTTGTTCCTGGCACCGCGTCACCATCACGTGTGGTTTCTTGGGGACTTCCAGTTGCAAAGGGGACGAGGGCTTCCATCTGCGGGAAACTGGGGGAGAGTGCAAAAGGGCATGTCATTTTCGTTGCAGCTTCGCGCTCTGACGGGAGCCTTGGCATCATGTGCTACTGCACAAGGATATCTTGGTTTTGACTTGCGCAGCTTCGTGCGCTCTGCACCCTCTGCAGGCGCTTGCGAAAGCCTTTGACATCAAGAAGGCGGGCGGTTGACTCAGTTTTGTTCGGCCCAAGAGATGGTGGAGGTGGCAACTTGGATCAATGTCGAGCAATCCTGCAAGCTGAAACAGGGCGGCCCCGTGTTCAGCCAGGTCTTTCTCTGCAAATAAAACGCAGCATGTTCGAAAAGCGGGTAGACACGCCATCGCCGGAAGAGGAGCAACACGTGCTGGTTTGAAGCCCCAGTTCACAGACTTTCGAAGTATGCCACGGCCAAGATTGACTGATGCCCCGTTGGTCATGGGAAATCTTCAAGTCACCCAAGTTCCTCCCAAATTGACTGCTTGATATTTATCTGCCAGGTCATCCTCAACGAGGAGGTGCCTGAAGATGCCTCGAAATCAGAGGCTCAAGGGCGCGGTTGGCCAACAGAAATAACATGTATTTTGTTTTTTGCTACTCTCTGTCTCTCTCTCTCTCTCTCTCTCTCTCTCTCTCTGTCTCTGTCTCTGTCTCTGCCTCTGCCTCTGCCTCTATCTCTGCCACTGTCTCTTTGTTTGTCTCTCTGTCTTTCTCTCTGTCTCGTTTACTCTCTCTCTCTCTCTCTATCTTTGTCTCTGTCTCTGTCTCTCTCTCTCTCTCTCTCTCTCTCTCTTTGTCTGGAGCATGTTCTTGGGAGTGACAGCTGACATGGGGGTTGCTGCACAGGGGGTACTGAAAAGAATTGCATCTCGCCGGTCTATTCTTTCTCTCCTTTCGGACTTGCGGCTGGTTCTTTTGGTTTTGTTCTTCGACATAAGGGAAAACACTACTTCATCTTGGATGATTCCATTTTGGGGAAGGTGCAGTTATCCTGCTAGTTCACCCTGCTAACGTTTTCCTTCCCCCCCTCCCCCGAATTGCGCAGCTCTGACTTCAGTTTTGAGTCCATTCAACCCTAAAAACAAACAAGTCAGAGCTGCAAAAAGGGGGAACCACGTTCAATGTGAAACGACTAGTTTCCAGATTTTTGTATTCCAGAAATTTCTGTATCAATTCAGCATATAGCGTCTACATTTTGTACCCTCCCTTCCCGAAACCCGGTCCCCTCCCCTCTCCTCCCGGCCAGGCTCAGAACATCATGCGCTTCGGCCGGCACACGATCTTGCCGTCCTTCTGGAATCTGCTGGCGAAGGGCTGAGGGCTCTCAGCGGTCCCTATGGGTTTGCGTCAAGAATTTGGGGAACCCAAACAAAATGGGTAGCTTCCTTTTGGCCACCCCGCTGAAGAAACCCCAAGAAGGGGCACCCCAAAAAAGGGGCACACCCATTTGCGACATTTGGTGGAGTTAACCATCACGTTTTAAACGGGCCCATGTGAAGAGAGTTTCCTTTGAGAGTCATGTTTAAGGGCGCCCTGTCCAAAGAACACCCCGTTTGGATGGTGTTTGAGTAGCCCAAAGGAAAACACTTCCAGGGGAAAGGAAGTAACTTCCGGCTTTCGCGACCTTGTCTTTGTTTCCTTTGTTTCCGCGCCCCCCGATGATTTTTGTTTTTCGCGGATCACAAAAACAAAACTGGAGCAACTGGGCGCCGGGATTCACAGCTCGGGTGCAGAAGCCTCGGCCGCCGAGATCCAGCTCACGAAGCAGGGCCGCCGCTTCTCCGTGGTGTTCCGCTCCTTCAGCGAGGAGCAGCTGGCCCAGGCTGGGAGTGGACGGGAGGGTTTGGGGATGGGCTGGTTAGGCGTGGCTCAGATTGCTGACTTGCATTGTGTGCACGGGGACATAACACCAGCCGGGTGTAGACTCCGTTGTTTGCGAATTGGCAGCGCGTGTGGGCCCTTTGCAGAGTCTTCACACACACTTATGCCCGTGCGAAATTGGCCTCAGCGAATCTGCAGTCAAAGGTTTGCAGGTATCTTCATGTGAGTAGCTGACATTGTGGGTAGTCCTTTTTTGACTTGGTGGAGGACATGGGAGGGGACAACCCCAAGTTTTTTCGCAAGACCCAAGGGGACCGTCCACTCTTCCCAGGGCTCATGTGGCTGCGTGCAATGCCTCCCACGCAAGCGCTAGCTTCCCCAACTGCAACCTGTCCAGGCGCAGAAGGAGCTTCAGCCGGTGCCTCAGTTAGAGCGAGTCTATGGGACCTCTTCCCAGTGGTGATCCAAAGAGAGCCTCGGTTCCCAGTTCGTTCCCTGCGTCAAAGCCTTGAAAGATATGGCACCCATGAAGAAATCATCATATGTGGGCGGGCATTTCTGATGATGATGATGATGATGATGATGATGATGATGATGATGATGATGATGATGATGATGATGACGATGATGATGATGATGCTGCTGCTGCTGATGATGGTGATGAGGATGATGAGGATGACAACGAAGATGATGATGACGACAGAAACGTCCTGAGAGGGGAGGCATGTTTTCTTTGGTTTGCCATGCGAAAGTGCTAAACACATTGCGGTTCAGAATGTGGCCTGCCAGTGGTCAATTCTCTTTGGTCTCGTCGAAGGCTTCCTCCTTTCCCTGCCCCAGCATCAGGCTCAACGACCGGTTCCGAGTCAGGAGTTTAAACCGCCAAATTCAGAGTTTCTACTGTTTCAGTATTGCTTTGTGCTGGGTGTTGTGTTTTACTATAAAGGAAACCCACAGGGAAACATCCACTGTTGGGCCATATTTTTGGAAACAGCCAAGTCTACCAGCCCAGCGCTCCACTGCTTGGATGTCACACCCTACAGCTCTTGAAATCAAGTTTTGAAGCTTCAGACATTGTTTGACAAATCGGCAGTGAGATGTCTGAAATCCCACCCCCAAACGGGCCGCGTAGTGGGACAACGGACTGCGTCTGAGCCGGATCTAGGCTCTTCGTGCAGTGCCAGCACCCCGCCTACAACGGCCAGAACAAGACCCACAAGCCGCTCCCTCGGATGAGACAGTCCCTAAGCGGACCAGGGTTTCGGCTTTCGGGAGACGATTGAGAATTGGGGACCTTGTGGTGACATAAACATGGGGATTGCCCACCAGTCCCATGTGGGACGCGATGCGCGTCCCAAGCTGCGAGCATATCCGGGTGACTCACCAAATGACCACTGACTGGAGCTCGTTGGTCCTCAACGCCAGCCAGCAAGAACACCAGGAGTTCTCCAGGTCAAACTCCGCAGTACCCACCATGGAACCTGACACGTTCCTTGACAAGACAGAGTCTGGAGACCTCTTGCCGAGTTTTCATATGGGTCAGTCGCTCCTTCAGTCATAGAAAGGTTGTAATCTCATACAATGTTGTTGATGGGCCCCACTTGCTGAACTAGTCAGTATCTTCGGTTTTCATCGACCAACCACTGGCTGGCAGACATACGCAATCCCTGATGAACAAGCCACACTGCACAGCAAGTCTGCTGTAGGCGCATAACATGTTTTTGTGTTGGATACCAGGCATCGTCAGTCTACGTAGGCACGTTTTGGAACACATCCGGGTTTGGCTTTGCTTTGTGAAGGTTTCCCTTCGCCGGATTTAGCGGCAATTTGTCCGTAGACCGTGGTCCCCCAAAAGCGTTCCGCCCGTGGTTTACAGAAGTTGGGTATTGTTATTCGGACTTCCCAACGTCTCCCACAGACTTTCTGAATCGGCGTGTGGTCTAACCTTTGTTTCAATGAAGGCGGCTTTGAGCGCCAGTCGGAGAGTGGGAGCTTCGGCTGAGGCCGCCCTTGATGGATGGGAACAAGGACCGGGGATGACGCTTGGATTGCGAGGCAAAAGTTGGTCAGCTATCACAGCCAGACATTTGGTTTAGTTTTCTTTGGTTTCCCTTTGCAGGATCTGCTGTTCTACCCTGCCATCTCGGGGGCAAATTTTGGGGTTTGAATGCGGACCTTTTGCCCCATCACTCGCTTTGACGTTCAACCTGCAACTTTGTGGAACGATGGTTGAACCAACCAAACAAGTTCCATTGTTTGTGGGGTTCTTGAGACCATTGCGGAAGAGGTATTGCCAACGGGATATTGTTGAGCTCCTAAGCAGCCGCGACCGTCGAGGCGACGGTCGCGCCTGCAGTTAGTTCGGATGAATAAACCCCTGTTTACTCATGTGGGTGTGTTCCACTCCAAAAGTGATGATTCCATACTCACCCCCATATTAACAAAGAGGGGTTTCTTCAGTTGGGGTCAACGTTACTCCCAACGAAACCAGGTAGGAAGTGAACCTAACAGACCCCGGGCCTCGCGATCCCCGTTTGGGAAGCCGGACAAAACTGGTGTACTCCCATTCGACCCGATCGCCAGGGTAGACATTAGGCGCAAGAAATTTGAACCCCCGACACGGCGAAAGGAAAAGCAAGAATTGGTGTTTCTCAAAATCCCCCGTACACCCAATACCATCTTTTTTGGGGTATGATGTCGACCCTCTTCTAAAAAAGGAGGTATTTACCCTGAACAACTCTGGTTTTCCAAAGAATATCGCCCTCTAAAATGGCAAGGGTTTCCTGTTGCCCTGAGCTACCAGGGGCTCCGAAATACATTTTTCAGAACCCGACATTCCCAACATTCATAAAGACACAACAATGTGCTGCTTACCCCATAGACATCTGACAATCTATTTCCCACCCTTTTCCCCATGCACGTGTTGGTTTGAGACGCTCCACGCAGCCTCTCCAATCATCTGTGAACATCATAGAATCATAGCCAACTGTTCGCGCGCCAGCTTTCTCCATCCGTCAATCAGGCTTTCCAAGTGGGGTTGGGCTAAATGCAAGACAATGGGCCTGGCGTATTCTCCCATTGGTTTCCCTTCGCCCAAATAAAAGGGGTACCAGGACTCGGCCAGGGCTTCCAGTTTCAGCGTTTCCAACAAAATTCCGCTGGCCAGGGCTCCAGAGATTTTCGGCTCTCCCCAACCGCAATCGGCCGACCTGCCCTCAGCTTCAGCGCCGTGGTCTTGGGACTGCTCACACGAGTCATTACAACTGGGTCCCTCAGTAGTGCGCTTTTACATTTTTTCTGGGGGAGGGTTCCCTACTAAAATAGACTACAGAAAAAGGGGCACCCTTATTCCAACCTCTCTACTCGAGGGCCTAGACAATCTTGTAGTCTGCTGCTTGTACGGAGGAAACAACCCACACAAAGAACAACCGAGTTTTCCCATCTTAAGACCCCCCTAATGTTGTCCATCAACCTTCAGGAAGCTCAGGAACTAGCTCTGGATTAGTGGGCAACCCTCTCTTGTCACAATCAAAACCTGAAAAGAAAATAAGTGGACAGTTCCAACCAGAACTGGATGCGGCAAGAAGCCCGTGTTGCTTCCTTCCATGATTCGGGCTGTCTCAGGGGTGGACGGCAGCACAGCCCTTGACAGAAAGATGGCAACCAGTGAGTACCATTTAGATCCCAAGTTTCGCCACATTGTGCGTCCACACATGCCAGCTAGCTTTTGGCGGAACATGCCATGCTAGCTTCGGATTACTCAGGAGGACCGTACTAGTCCGGGGTGGTTCCCCGTTTAGGAAGGACATTCTCCTTTCTGGGGGCTCTTCTGACTAGTAGGGCCCTCCACATCAGTCCGAAGTCCGCAATAGAAGTTTCGTTTCTTTGCGGCAGCCAGGCGCCAGGCGGCACAAACAGAAGGCAACACTCGAGCCAGGTTCGTACTTCAGGGCCCACGGCAATGTAGTTTGCGTACTGCGACATGGGAAGCATTGTATCGCAACGGAAGTCAGAGAACTTTGCAACACGAGCCCACCACGTTCGCATGTCAGGAATGGACCGCATGAGCGGGTGCCTGCGCTTCCGCGACCGGCCGGTCTCGGGGCCCGGGCTCCGAGATCGGCTCCGACTTCTTAGAGGCCCAAAAGATGAAAATGGTTCTAAGAGGCATTTTGGACTTTGGACAGTGGCCCACCCCCCCATTTCGTAGATGAAGTAGATGGCTCCCGTGTGTCAATGTTTCGTCGTCCCCTTTCCGACGAGTTGTGTGGTCTACTTTTACCCAAGTGACGGAAACCTAGGTGTTCCTTCAAAGGAGCTGCCGATCCGAAGTTGGCTGTAAAAAGGGTTCCAAGGCGAAGCCTACTTCCCTTTGGACACTGAATGGCAAATGGCGAGGAAACTGGTACCCTCTCGCAGCTGCCTCTTGGTGGGAGTTGGCATGGGTGCATTGCAGAATGTGTACAAAGTTGCTGGTCTGCTTGTGGTTGGCTAGCATAGGTGCGGAATCTGTGCCGTGCTGCGGCACTGTGGGTAAGCTTCCCTAGGTACTACCAAGAACATGGCAGCCGTGGAAGAAGCCGTGTGGAAGCTCTTGCCAATGGGGCAAGCGCACTTAGAAGCACATGTTGACAGGAATACGAGTTGAATAATCACGACCCCTTGACCCCCAAAGAGGTACCCCAGAAGGGTGTGCATGCATGTGATGTTGGAGGCCCCTTTGCCTGCATGGATACATGTCGAACGGCAATGCCCGTTTGGCTCAAGACCAATGCCCATCATTAAAACAGGGTTTGCGCTCGCCTACTGGGGTTAATAAGGGTCCCGGTTTCTGGTTCGCTGTGTTCTTTCCCTGTTGAGTGGTTATCAGCCGTAACTGCTTTTTGGGATTAGGCCCCCTCAGTCCGGTAGTCAGCGCACTTCGTGCATGGACCCGGCTCCGGCCTTCTCGGCCCGAGGACACAGGGGCGGGTGGGTTTATCGTCGAAAGCTTTACTAGGTTGGGGTAGCAAGAGTCCCCTGGGAGGAAGCTTCGGACTTGCATCGGAGCTCCCTCCTGGCGTGGCAGGCCGATTTCTCCGACCAGAGCTACCAGCACTTGCGGGACATCTACCCCGACCTCTACGACGCCGTCATTGCCCCGAGGCCGACACCAACCAATCCCAATACTACAACGGGCACAGGCCGCAGCTCAAGCCGCGGCGGGGCAGGCTTCAGCACCAGCTCGGCCACAGCAACCAAGCACCCCATCAAGTCCATCCTCCACAACAACTGTGTCCACCATCAAGGCTGCAGCTCCAAGCGCAGCGCAGACACAGGCAGCATCCGGGCCGGGAGATCAGGCTGCAGCTCCAAGCGCAGCGGTTCCACCCAGAACTTCAACTGAGAGCCCGTCCCGTCCTTCCTCCTATCCGCCTGCAACTGCATCGCGGAGGAAGAGGACACCGCCGGCAAGGCGACAGCCTTCCCTTGCACCGGCACAGAAGGCGTCAACCCGACGCCCGAGATCCAGAACTTTCCTCAGCTGCAGCTCGAAGCGCAGCGGGGTCGAGGACCAGGAGCTCCAGCTCTTCCTCACCTCTGGCCTGTGCATCTTCCGGGTGGACAGCACAGAGATCTGGATCCTCCAGCACCGGTACGAGGGCGCCCCAAGACCCACACGTCGGGCGCCGCATCCACCACCCTCGGACGACCCGTACGACCTGCCAGACTCCTACTGGCATCGTCCACCGAGGGCGGAGTCCTCATCCAACCCTCCCCGAGGACACGGGAGGGCCGAACATTACAACTTGAGTGCATCACCACCTCCAGAAAGGTCTGCACGGGCAGTGTACTCAGGTCTTGCGGCCTTCAACCCGGACAGGGTGTACGAAGCTGACCCGCAACAAAGACCGCTCGGATAGTTTTTGCCAAGCGGGAAGCAAGGTCAAGGCGCCCCCGCAAAGCGTACTCGACCAGGCAGCTGCGGATCGCGCTGCGTCGAAGGCCAGACCCCCACCACCGCTGAGAGCACCACCAGCACCCCCAGCACCCGTGCCAAGGGCTGCAGCTCAACGCGCAGCATCGGTCTCAAGATCGATAAGCGGGGTCAAGCGGCCTGAGACGCCGCCCAAAGCCTACAAGCGGGCACCACCCTCACCGCCACCACAGGTGAGGTACAAGTCACCACCGGCGCCCAAGTTGCCGGTCAAGCAGCCTCCAACTGCAGCTGCCAAGGGCCCAGTCCCCGACAGGACACAATTCGGTGCGCCTCAACAAGAGGCGAGAGACCCAGTCGTCATCGCCCTCGACTGGCACAACACCCTCGACATCTCGGTCGGGCCTGACGGTGCGCCGAAGGAGTGGCTTTTGCGAACAGTGTCCAAACTGTACCGCAGCCACTACCCCATCCAGTTCCGCATCGTCAGCTACTGCCAGGCCCGGGACACCCGGGAAAGCACCCTCGGTTTTTCCGAGGTGTGCAACGACGCCATTGACGGCTTGGGCGCACTCCCGTTCGGAGAAGTGGTCCTGACCTGGAAACGGGTCGGACCATCTGGCAAGGCTGCAGCTTTAGCGCAGCTGGGGGCGTGCGCCATCGTGGACGACAACAACTCCGTCCTCAAGGAGTGCCGCACCGCAGGCGCCCTCGGCGTAGGTGTCGGTCGGCGAGACGCCAACCGAGCGCTCTACGACGCGCTGGACGAGCTTCACGAGTACCTCAACCAGCACCGACGCCTACTCCGCCCTGCCAGGGTACTCGACCAAAACGAGTATCTCGAGGAAGTTGGCCGCCGCCCTCACTCTGCAAGGGGCGGACGGACTTTTTCGTTGACCTGGCACTGCCAGAGGCTGCAGCTCAAGCGCAGCAAGTGCACCGGTTTCCAACACCGGCTGTAGCATAAGTTTTTCCAGGCTGCAGCGTGAAGCGCAGCGTGTCAGCATACGTGAGCCTGACCTTGTGTGAAAGGTGCATCCGACATGGCGTCAGGGATTTCCCCACCTTCGGATGATAGGTCAAGGTCAATTGTGGGGGAGAATCTAACGAGGAAGACCCTGAACTAGGTGATGTTTCGGTACCCGCAATGTCCGTGATTCCCGTAGGTTCCAGGGCATCCTCATCAAGAGATGTTCGTAGCCGCGATCGCAACGTGACTCCTCCCCGTAGGACTCCCATTGTAGAGGAACCTCACAGCATTCTCAACAGGAAGCCCAAGGCCATGTTCAACAGGTGAGGCAGGAAGCCGAAGGCCATGTCCATCTGTTAAGACAGGAAGCCGTAGGCCGTGTTGAACGTGCTAGGCATGAAGCCCAACAAGCAAGGTCGGCCGCAGAAGCCGAAGTGTCCAGGTTGAGGCAGGAGGCTATTCAAGAAATTTCCTCACGGGAACAGAAGATCCTCCAGCAAAGCAAAGTGATAGATACATTAGGGAGGGAAAACTTTTTGTTGTCGCAACGCCTTGCTGACCTAGAAAGGGCTGTCGCATCCATGGCGCAAAATGTTCCGGCACCTCCGGATGAAAGTCATGAAAGTCAAAATCCCACGGATCCCGGGTCATCGGGGCTAAATGACGTTGGACGTGACCTTCAGGTTGGATCACAGGCTCCCCAAGTTCAAGGGCCGAGTGATGCCACACGTGAGCGCATCGGGAAGTTCAAGTAGCGACCCTAATTTAGCGCCACGTGCCCCAGTTGGTTTCCCAAAATCCTTCGCTCCCCCGCAGCCCGACATCAAGTCAGATGCCAAGCGTGTGCAAATCCAGGATGGTGATCCACGCGCACAACCACAAGGACCACCGGACGTCGCTCGGACTCAGGATGCAAGGGGACCTGTAGACGTACAGGCACAAATGTCCTCTTTAACTGAGCTGGTCCATCAACTTTCAAAGAGGCCCAGGTAGGGGTATCAGGGGCTTCGCCCCCGATCGCATCGGCTCAGGCACCCCCACCTTCCGTAGCTGCCCAGCACACAACTGCTGTCCCCACGCTTAGGCCAACAAGTGCAAGTACAAGTCAAGTGGCTCAATTCCCATCCCCCCCACTCGCACCGAAGAGGCAAGCTCCGACACATCCTCAGAATCCGGTGACGAGGGTCATACCCCTTCACGCCGAGTCTGTGGTGGCCCGCATGATGATACCGCCTGCCCCTCCCTTTCCATGAATGGGGGGCAGGGACAAGGTACTCAAGCAGCAGATGCAAGTGGTGGGATGCTGCTACAAGCGCATCAGATCCGGCCTCATATGAGGAAACCGTGGTTCGCATAAAGGACCTTAAGGATTTAGTGCTTCCGCTTCCGCCAGAGAACGCCGGTCAGGCGCGTGGATACGTGAATCAAGTCCTCATGGCCATTGGACGTTTGCAAAAGACGACCGATGACGAGGCCTATCTCTGGGCTCAGGATTGCCTGACCTCATCCGAGGAACAACTCAGGGCAGATAAACGTTTCCCACGCACAACCCGTGAGATAGCCGCCAAGCTGTTGAAAACCTGTCGCAAAGGCAAGTTTGGGTTGTTGTTCCAAAACATGGAGCACGAACGGAACATGCCCAATGGGCGCGTGATGTTGCGTTCGATCTTCAAGCATTTGCAGCTGGAGCGCGACCGGATCGGCATCCTTGGAGAGCGCAATCTTCTAGGTTTGAAACTTGCCGGCCAATCAGTAGCAGACATAGAGGCTTTCCGTGAGAAGTACACCTATATTCTCCGTGCGATACCTCTTGATGAGCTCCCCAAGGAAAGAACTCTTTTCAATCATCTCATTGACGAGTTTGAGAAGTGCCCCATAAGGAAGCATCGCGTTGAGAAGGCCCGTGAGTCCGCCCATGATAGTCACCGCCGCACCTGTGCATGGCTTTGGGCAAAGGCAGATCTGGCCATAGAGCTTGCCCAACAAAAGCGCAACCGTGACGAGTTTGATCAAGATGTTAAGCTCAAACCGGCTGTTCGTGGCACGGGCAAGGAAGCAGCTACCAGCGCTTTGCCAGCAGAGACTAAGAAGGAGAAGAAGAAGAACAAGAAAGGTGAGAAGAAAGGGGATCAAGGGCAGGATAAAGGCGGCACCCCAGCTGCTCCTGCGCCTAAAGGTCCTTTGAACCCTAAGCCTCCTCCTCCTCCGAAGTCCCAA